TGTAGCTAAATGTCGCCTTTTGAGGTGTTTGAAAATATAGTCTGAGGTGTTACAACTTAGTCATGTACTCAGTGTGTACTCAATGTAGCTAAATGTAGCTACATTTGGTACACACGGCGCTGCTTTTAAAACGACGTCTGGTTATCAGAGAATGTGATCGACAGTTTCAAATACACACTGTGTTATCCTCAATCATTAGCTCAGAAGCTCTGGATGCTTCCAGAAAGAGGCCAATCCAGAGAAAGTAGGCTTTTAGGGAGGGGAACCTTAACGAGACAGTAGCTTGTTTCTGACAAAGACAATTTTTAAAAACTGTGAATCATGCAAAGCTACTCTAGAATGTGACAATAATAGGTCCCCTTTAACGCTGCAGGGGAGCTCCACCTGTGAGGGGGAGAAACCAGAGTGCCTGACATCGTTTAAAGACATTAACCAGAGCAGGTTCAACATGAAAACTGTGTGGGATAAAATCAGTTTCCTTCTCTGATGAGTCATAACGCACGGATCACACTTCTATTGCACTCTCCAGTAAGACTGTGACAAACAAAATGCATCCCGTCGACTGATGATGACGATATATCAATACAAGTGGTTCTTCCTCGTTGTTGCATGATGCAATATGTTGATATACTTCTTTATATCTCTATACTCCGCCTGCCTGTTTTCTAATGGAAGTGAGAGCTTCAGGGACGGCTCGTGTTCCAGACTCTCCTGTTTACGCTGTTGTTGGTCTTCTTTTATGCACGACTGAATGTACGAATGTGGCTTTCTATACGATATCGTTGTTTACACACTAAGCTCGTGCTTTACAGGTGTTCTTACATTTCTATCAGGTGTTGTATGTACGATGCAACAATAAATTTGGAATGCAATGCAAACAGGAGAGTAAGTGTGGATCTGTTCTCGCGCCGGGATGGTCCTGGCTGGCGCCACGCCGCCCCCTGCTGCCTGAAAGCACAACAGCAGCTCGAATGCTGCCGTCTGTCAGCCAAGTTTATTCTTGCAGCAGGATGAATGAAACCACACTTGCAGCTTTTTCAGCTTATAAATGTGAAGAACCTTCTAACGCAGGGGTAGGCAACTCCAGGCCTCGAGTGACGGTGTCCTACAGGTTTTAGATGTATCCATGATCCATCACAGCTGATTTAAAGGGCTAAATGACTCCTCAGCATTTCTTGAAGTTCTCCAGAGGCCTGGTAATGAACTAATCATTTGATTCAGGTGTGTTAACCCAGGGTGAGATCTAAACCCTGCAGGACACCGGCACTCGAGGCCTGGAGTTGCCTACCCCTGCTCTAATGCAACACAAACTCACCTCAAAGCTCCACAAAATCTTTTTTCAGATCCAAGCTTAATACTGGCTTTTACAAGCTCATATTTTTATATAAATGTTATTGTGATTTACCTTTCTGACTCACATCAGCTGCTGAAGCAGGGCTGCTTTGTTACAGCAAAACTCACGTTTATCAAAGAATCTGGAAACTTGTGTATTTATGAACTTTACTCATAATTCAGCCGACAAAACTAAAAGAAATGAATCAATGTGAACCGAACGAGAGCTGCCACAGGACAGAGAAGTGCTGAACAGAGAATATGACAATAATATATCAATAATTTATCTCAATTACATCGCTGGAAGCCAAATTTGTTGTTTAAATTAAAATTCTAAACTCAAAGTAACAAAACGTCCAATTTACAGTGAACACCTCATCTGTATCTGACACAGGGCTGAAGATATACCACGGGCCTTGAATGCAGCAGAGCTCTCATCAGGTAAGCACAGCAAGACACCTGGACTGTGTTTAACGTGGCGTCTGTATCGATGCTGCAGGAAGCAGCTTCAACTCTGAGAGAAGAATCTGAAAGGGTCACAACAAACTCAGGAAAGGTTTCAATTTTTTGTTCAACATCAGGAACCAGGAAGAGCAAGTTCTAGTTCTGGGAAGCTCTTCCTCTGAGCAGGAGGAGCCAGTATCAAACAGATGGCTCCAAGTTTCTCAGCTCAGTGAACCGACACAGATCTGCTCACCTCACAGGTTAACATGACGTCGACAAACAGATGCTGCGTTGATGTTATTGATGCTTTTGGACCAACAAAACAGCTTTTTACACCTGCACTCGGAGTGATCTGATTGGTCAGTAGGTGATTTTGTTGATGCCTGGTCTTGAACGCGACCGTCTTCACCGCAGGTTAGGCCTCGACAGCGAGTTGGCACGA